GCAGAATTAAAAGAGCTCTATTCAGATACTTAGTTGAAAGAGTGGAGAGACTATTATCTAAACGGCATGGATCTCTCCTCTCGTAGGTAAGAAAAGAAGTTACGCTTAAAGCAATGGCTAGTGCTATCCCAAATTACACCATGTCATGCTTTCTTCTACCCAAAAATGTTTGCAATGAACTAAAGAAAATCCAAGCCAGGTTTTGGTGGGGAGGGAATTAAAACAATAGAAAAACCCATTGGGTCAGTTGGAACATTTTGAGTAGGAACAAGTTAGCCGGGGTTTGGGGTTTAAAGATCCGTATAATTTCAACTTAGCCCTCCTAGCAAAGCAAGTTTGGAGGATTTGCATGAATGAGGAAAATATTTGGGTTAAGATTATAAAAGGCAAACACTTAAGGGGTAGAGATTTCCTGACTTCGAAATTGCCTAAGCAGGGTGGGGTTGGCAAAGTCTTGTAGCAGCCAGGGAGGTCCTTTTGAAGGGAGCATGTTGGGCAGTAAATTTGGGGAACAAAGTCAAGATTTGGGATGATTTGTTGCTGCCTAACATTCCCTCCTTTAGAATTGAGGGTCCTAAGCCTAATAGACCTGATTTAGTATGGGTCAAGGATTTAATGATCCAAGGGGAAAGAAGGTGGTACTCTTGAATTATCAATGAAAACTTCGGGGAGCCCTTTGCCACTAGTATTCAGAATTTGAATATAGCTGCGGGGCTCTGGGATGACAAACTAAGATGGACTTTGCACCAAAGTGGGAAGTATACAGTCAAATCAGGGTATTATGCAAGTACAAATAACAATATTCCTGATTCTATGAGTTTTGGTCAAAACTATAATGGGTTGGACTTAAAAAATCTCAATGGTCAGAACTTTGGAAAGCCAAAATAAATCCTAAAATAAAGAATTTTGTCTGGAAATGTTGTGTGAATGCTGTGACTATAAAAGAAAATCTGTATAGAAGGGGAATGATGGATGATGACCTATGTCCTATATTCTAAAAGGAGACTAAAATGGTTATGCATTGCCTCTTTCAGTGTAGTTATGCTCAAACAGTGTGATTTGGCTGTCATTTAAGTGCCAAAATGAATCGGATTTCGTACTTTGTCTCTTTCTACAATTGGTTTAGTTCTTAGATAGCATGCTGCATTGAAGAAAAAGATGTAGTTCTTCTCAACCAGGGGCTTCAAGTTTTGGTGTAGTTCTGTGAGATGAGGCTGGGTATGTGATATCAGCTAGTCTTGGCAAAACAAAGGGCTCCTCATCTCCTCTACAGTCTGAGGCCTTGGCTATTCTTAATGGGCTCAAGATGCTGGAAGAACTTGGAAAGTTTTTTGTCACAGTGGAAACCGACTGCCTCACTCTTGTATAAGCTCTCAATGCAAAGGATTTTGACTCCGGCGATGGATGCTATCTTTTTGTGTAGAGATATTGATGTCTTGGCAGCTAAATTGAATAGCTCTTTTAGTTTTGTTAACAGGGGTTGTAACAATGTAGCCCATCAGTTGGCTAAACGGGGTTTAAAAGAGTCTTTTTGTTGTTATTTTGGATTTTCTTCTCGGTTTTCCTTTTAATGAATCTTGCTAATTTACTACTAAAAAAAATAATAATGTCAAAATAATCACAAATAGCGTATAAATACATAGGACATGTATATTTTTATGGTATATATGAAAAATTAAAAATACATTACAATTATTATTATAGGATGCATAGATATCTTATTAATAATACATTAATCAAGAGTCCATTACATGTATTATATAGATTTTTATAAACTAATACATACATAACCATTATTGTTTTATTTTCTATTAAAGTCCCAGGCTGAAAAATATACAACTATTATATTAATTATTTTATATTTATTTTTTTTAATTTTTAACATTAACAAAAAAGTCAATTAAAAATTTAATTCTCAAATGTTTGGTAAATAATATTTTTATTTTTGTAAACAATAAATATGTTATTATAAAATGTAAATTAAAATATCAATTAATAATTTACAAAAATATATAATCTTAAAATATATCAAATCTATCAAATCTATTAGAACTTCAAAGATACATATGTAAATTCATAATTTTTAATTACTAAAATAAATTTTCCATTATTAATATTTTTATTTATTTAAATTATTAATTTTTTGATATAAATGTATATTATTTATATTATATTCTTAAATAATTTATAATTAATAAATACATTGTTATTTAATACACATTAAAATATCCATTAATAATTTATAAAATTTTTAAGATATATATCATGTGAAAATTTATAAATTTTAAGTACTAAAATAATTATTTTATTATTAATAATTTATTTGTATAATTTTTTTGAGGTTAAAAATCATTTTTTGATATAAATTTGGATTTGATAGATTATTTGTTCTATTAGTTTATAAAATATTAATATTAAATATTATTCTGTTTAATTTATAGTTGGGGTGGTTGAATATAATATATGTTATTTATTTGAATTGGTTGTGGACGTTAAATTGAATAAATGTTTAATATATTTCACTTATTATGTCGGCTTAGTGGTTAATGGTGTGTTTAATTATGGGCGCAGATGTCTTGGGTTTGAATCACATCAACGTTTAATTTTTATAGCGCATTTAACTATAAGCCCTTAATATGCCTCTGTATCGCTGAGTATTAGACTATATCGGTCGATACTATATGATATGCATTGATGCTATTGGACCGATACCTACGACTAGAAGGATATACTCGTATCCAATATCGGTGCCTTCTGATATGCTGTATCGTATCAATACCTTAATCCTTGGTTGTGTCATCACCCGCCATTCCATTTGGTTATTCTAAGTTTTTATTTTATTTTATTATTTCTTATAAAAAAATTATATATATATATATATATATATATATATCAAACTTCATATACAATAAAATTTTAAGAATTTTCAATTTCTTGTTTATGTTATTAATTTATTTTGTTTTTTAATTATTTTTGAAAATTTCTAAAAATCGTATCACCCATGGCCTAGCCCGACATGGCACAGCCTCACCTGGGTTCATGCTATGATTGGTGATTATTTTATTAATAATATATAAAGGTTTCATGTTTTTTTTTTGTATATATTTACTATATTTTATGTATAAAAGGTTAAATTTGAAAAATATATAAGATAATTTAAGAAAGAAAAACTTGACCATGACATCCCCACATGGGATTCTGATTTCAAATAACTAACATTAGGATTTTGATTTCTTAAACCTCTTGGGCTAAAACCCCTAGCTTTGGCTATATAGCACAATAATGCAACGCATGATTAAAATTCGAAAGCAATTTTGTGTTTTTATGGGTTATTTCTTGTGTCTTTTTTTATTGAGGGTGGTTTTCTTTTATGCTTTATTATGGGTTATTTCTTGAGGATGCTTTTACGTTTTGCCTTCACATTTGATGGTATAACTGTTTATTAACCTCTTGAATTTTTCACTATGAATTTGTCTTTCAAGTATATACCAAATTAAATTTTATTAAAATTCAATACCCAAGGTATATTATTAATTTGATTCTTTCTTTAAAAAAAGTTTTATTAAAATTCTTTACATAATTAGTTCTCCTCATAAATTGGTATTACAATTTTCCATCTGAACGTAGCATATCTTCATATATTTTTTTAGTATTATGATTTGAACATAGCATCACAAATTCTGTTATACCTTTCTATTAGGATTAGGACTTGATTCAGTAAATAAGTGTATAATACTACGTGGGCAAAAAGCATAATTTGAACACTGCTTTTCAGTTCATTTTGTTAATTTTCTTGAGTAATTTCCATTTTATCTCTTTAAATTTTGTATTCAAGATAATTTGGATTTTCACCATTAAATTTTACCAATTAAATTCATACATAATAATTTTTATATCATAAAATCTCTATTTTTAAAATCAAAATATAAACAATATCTTTTTTTTTACAAGTGGTAGGTGAATAGTTCAACCATTTAGTTAAAAGGTTAACTCGTGATGCAATAAGAATTAAATAATAAAAAATTAAATTAAAAATAGAGAAAATTATACAAGATTATAGAAAAAATAAAAAAATATATAAAAAATTAAGCATATCTAAAATATTATATATTCATCATATTTAATAGAGATGTATTTAAGCTAAGTACAATATTGTTTTTAAATATACAATAAATAAACACAATAGTGTTAAATATATCTTTATTATTAGATATTATATTTAGATATATCTCTATTTAATTATGACATCAAAGGTAGACCAATTTGTATTTTACAGAAATATTGTATTTAAATACATTTTTATTATATCCAAAATTATTTTTGAACCTGAATTCAATAGTAACATTCAAAATTGTAGACCAATAAGGACATTAATTGATTCATTCATTTTAAATATTGTAAAACTATCTTGCGTCAACTAAGCCCATACTAGCTGTTCCTATTTAAACATAGGATCTAACTTTAAACACCAAATGACCCATAAGGACCATTTTAAAGCGTTGATAACGGATCATTGCTAATGCCTTAATCCAAATTTGATTGATTTACATTCGAATTTAAATTGAACTTTATCCATTACATATCATAAATGAAATATCTTAAAAATAACTCTTATGAGACGTAAATTGGAGTACCTAATTGTCTTTAACAAACATACATCACTCGGATCAACTTTATTAATATACACATTTATTTTACGTAGATATAAACATAAAGGTGATCATTCAAATATTACTGGATTGGACCGAATCATCTTGGGTCGGGATAAATCCATAATCAATCCAATAATGGATTGAATTTTGATTGACTTACTATGATAAGATTAGGAAAGTGCCCAATAGCTTGCTAATAAAAACCTCTAACTAATTTGTTGTAGTGTGAGACTTGGGGTCGAGTCTTCCTTCACCAGGGTTGGGGATAGAGGTTTGGGCCATCCCTGTTGTGTAGCTCATTTGTCTACACAAGGATTCAAAATCGAATTTGGACCAATGGGTACCATATGTAGCCTTGCTAATTTAGAACCTTTTACAATTTTTATTATTGTACATCTAAACATTCTAATAAGTTAACATCTTTCTACAAAATCTCACCCTTGTGTCTAATATGACATCTACAAAATGGTCATTGATGAATTAATTTCAGACGCTGTGAGGGTGGAGTGATTTATTTCCACATACCACTGCGTCCATATAGCAGCATTGCTTTGAGTTGATGGCATGTGAAACTGAAAGGTCTTGTTGAGATGTACTTCAAAAGAATTGATAAACCTGAATGAGCTCATAAGAAAATTTGAGTACCATTGGTTTTGATCCACATAATTAAGATATCCTTTCTTTTTGTTGCATGAACTCCAATGCTTCAACTCAAGTTCTCTATAATTTTAGAAAGGGCGGAAAATGTTCCAAATCCAGAAGATATAACACCTACTATAATAATCAAAATACACATGGTTCCCTACAAAATAGGCAAAAGAGAAAATATTTTAACATGTATTAATATTTAATAGCAAAAAGAAAGAAAAACCTATATTTGACATGGTGATAATCACTTAATAAGCCAACACAAGTATGTAATTGCTCATAAAAAAATACCAGTGACCAATATTTCTCTCATTATTCTTTTCCCTTCTATAAGGTTTCCACTACATAGTTTCTTAGCATCTGCTTGGCATTTACTGCCAAACTATGTAGTTTTTTTTTTTTTTTTGCATCTTTACTACAAATGAACTTTAAGCTGTAAATATTGCATCCTATTCAATTTTTGTATCTTTCAAGGGTGAAAAACTATAGCATTGGTCTACATGATGCAACATTATACAATATTTATAACTTGAGGAGCATTTTGTGGTATGACACCAGAAAATGGGTCATGATACCATAGAAGATGAAAGTCCCCAAATCCTTGCCCAAACTGATACATGATAAAGAAGAAATTAACTATCAAATACTACAATATAGAAAGCAATGGGAGGTGAAAGTAAATACTCTCTAGAACATCAAAAACCATATATGGAGACACGGCACGTTTGATGCATTAATGACATTCCTTTTATTCTTAAATAAAAATCTAAACTAAATTGGAAGTAGAAGTTATTTGAATTGCTTAAAAGACATTTTACTACTTAAATCATGCTTTATCCTTTCAGATCACACCATAATTTTTTGATTTTAAGAAAAAGTGCTCGTGCAACAAATCACAATAAGTTTGCCTTGAAAAGTAGTAGCATAAAAGAGAAACAAAAGTTATGAGCACTCCCTGATATTACACATAAATCATCCTATGATTAACCAGTTTGTAGTCTCCACGTGCAAGATTATAGTTAGGTGGAAATGTGAAAAGCATAGATCAATTATGCTATTAAGCTTTTAAAGAAAATTTAATGAAGATGAAATCCACACTCTTCAAAAGTCACATACAAGGATTTCAATAACTTGGTTGGCAAGGATTAAAGTATTGATACACTCGACACCCAATATATATATTTTTTTCATGTGCATTTGAATGCATATTGTATTGATATTTTAATCCTTAGTTGGGGCTTTTTAAGACACCTCAATCATTAATGCTTTCCTTGAAAACAAAGAAGTGAAAAAGAAGGGGAAAAGTGGAACTCTATTATTTATGATTTGGTTGTATAAAAACTAAAAAGAAAAAAAGCATATGAGAAAATTAAAAACTGAATTTCCTATTAACTCAACTTTCCCCCTTCTAAATGGTAGAGAAAGGGAAAGAAAATATATGAAATAGTGAATAATAATAACAGTGGTCCCACTATTAACTATTATTTGTATTGTATTGTTTTTTATGTATGAAAAATGAACGATATATGAAAAGTTATATTTTCATTCTTTTCTTTTCTTTTTATCTTTCTCATTTAATTTCTTTTTCTCCATCTCTTTTTCTTTTTGCAACAAAAACAGTGTAAATGCAATGATGAAATGCCCACACAGGTAACCTCTATAACTTCATAGTTTACAAATCACATAAGCATCTAAGAATAGGATTAAATAATAGATTTCTATTTTAATTAACTTTGTTGGTATATAGAATCTTTTGGGTTATTTAACCTTAATTACCAACTATGTCCCATATTTTTATCATGCTATTTAGATATGCAAGTTAAAATTTACATCATAAGGGGATTCTATGGTCAAGCTAGACGCCAAATGGTAATTTGGATGTGTGGAGCACTTGAGCGCATACCTGAAACAGTGTGACTTTACCCCTTAAAATGCTAAGAAAGCAAGCACAAGGAAGTATCAAAGTCTGCCAAAAAATATTTATCAAATTCAATCCATATAAAAAATAGCTTTGATTCCATGATCCAAGCATAAGCAAAAAAACTCAATAATAGAGATTTGGACCAAAGAACTTACAACAAGCATGGTGAGTAAAGATCCAATCAGTGCCATCACGAGACCTGAAGGTGAAAATAGAAAATTAATTAAAAATTTGATCAAAGTATGCTCGTTGTCCTTAGTTATAAACAATTTAAGAAATGACTAAATTATTGACATACTAATTTGATGAGAGACGTACCAAAGAAAGGGACACTGAGACCCACAAGCAAGGTGGAGATAACCAAAGCTGTTCTGATGAGGATTGCGTACATGTGAGATTTAAGATGATTTGATGGAATCAATTCTTCTAGACTCATTGCCACTGGTGTCATGGTTAATGCATATGTGAAATCCAATTAAGGAATGTCTTTTGTGTATAGACCAAACAATCAAACATGAAGTAGTTAAAAAAATATAACATAAAAACAATGTGTAAAAATTTTACGATTTATGATATGATTCACAATCCGAATCTCATGTTTGAATCTTTTTATACTTTTTGCTTGAATCCTATGATTTAATTTATAAATCTTACAATTTATCAAAAAATTAGTTTACTACTTTGTTATTTTTTACATTTAGTTTTTTCAAGAGAGACTTGTTTTAAAATCTTTATTAAAAATGATTTATTTAAATTTTTTAAGACTAAATATTGAGTTTATTTTACATCATATGTACGCTGAAGAACTATTGTATGCAAATTATTTTACTTTTAAGTCAACTTTGATTTTATTATCTTAAATTCTATTCTTTTAGATAACTATATATTAGATATGGATTAAAAATAGGGTATAGCCTTTTAGTATAATTATATTTATTTTTTTGATGAATTTGTAAAAAGTATAAATAATCTTACAAGTTACGATATGATTACAATTTTCAAAACATTACCAAACATTGATTTTGTTTTACATCATATGTTAAGGTAAAGATCAATCGTATATAAATTATTTTACTTTCAAGTTAAACTTGATTTTATCATCTTAGGTTTCTATTGTACAAGTGTTAAATTACATTGTTTTAGGTTCATGTATGTTAGAAATGGATTAAAAATCGAGTAGAATCATATTACTATATATATTTAACATTTTAATATATTTATATTTAATTTTTTGATAAATTTATAAAAATATAAATAATCTTATGATTTCTGATACGGTTATGATTTTTAGAACTTTGCATGTAAGTTTGGTAAGAAATTAATCCAATAAACAAGGTAAACCTTTAATTCTTTTGTGGGTGAAAACCAAGATAATCCAACCATTTAATCTAATGAGAATAAATCATTTAAGATTACATAAAATAAAAATTTTACTGTCATGACTATAATATATGATCAAATAAAATGAAAATTTTAGGAGAAAAGGATATTTAGTGAATGGGTTAACCACCTGCACAAAAATAAAATGATAATATTGTTAAAACCATGAAATTGTAGATTAATAGCCTAATTGTAACATGCACCATGTTATGATGCTCAAAGCATGAAATTTTATTTATTCAAAACTTTACAAATAGCAGATCTAATACTCTTAATCATGATTTCTCTTGAAACAAAAAATTGAAAAATAGACCAGCCCCATTGTATCAAAACATATTTGCATGAAACTCCAATGCCAACTCATGCTATACCTAAATGAAGAATAAGCCAAATGAGAATATCTCTATTGAAGTAAGGGTTTTAGTGGTGTACCGTAGTCCAGACAGCTATTTTTGAAGCAACTAAATCTTGGGGCATGTTAAGAGTAAACTGTGACTCTGTTTTCTCCCCAAACATTGTGTATCCCATCAGAGCAACTCCAGCATACATTGAAGTGCAAATGATAAAACTACAAGACAAGAAAGCAAAACTTTATAAAAAAAAGTACAATTCTCTGAAATTTTAAAAACAAAAAATCCGCTCCCAATCCACCTAAATAATGAAACAAATGGTCTTTTCTTTAAAAAATGAATTTTTTGTTAACACACCTTTGAACTTAGAAAACTTTGCTTTTCAAAAGTTAGGTGATTGTCCAGCTAAACATCCAGTTCAAACACTAAAACTTATAATAAAGCATTTGATATCTTCCTTACTAAATTAAGAGATCACTTAAATAATGTTAATCTTATAGAATTTTTCCATAAACGATAGAAGCCTCATATAATTATAATATTACATGTAACCCACTTTAGAACTATTTTTAGAGTTTTTTTAGCTTTCCAAAGACCATTGGTCAGATTTATCAAACAAGCAAACACTAGGATGCAATTTGAGCGGGCTCAGGTTGGGATTTTGTCAAAATTTGAATAAGCCCATCCCCAAAGCCCAAGTCCAAACTGTGTAAAATGCTAAGTTGCTAACCCGACCAACTTGAATTGCATCAATACCACCTACGTGGGAAGGTTTTGTTACTGCCCATCTCAATTCTGGTAAAAGTTGGTGTTTGATGAACTATCACCCTGATCAAGTGATTATGAGACATGGTGCATGGGTAAAAATATTTATATGAAATTATAATAGTATAAATTGATCATATTTCAAATGCAAACTGGTGAAAGAAAATCTAAAACATTTTCAAAAGAAAATTCATCTAAAAAAATGAACTTTTGGTGGTTTGAAAATTGAAGAGCAAATGAGTTGATGCAAAAAAACTTACATTGTCAAGAGGGCTGATGGGTATTGACTTGGTTTTGCCATTGAAGTGTAGATGTTTGGAAAGACAGCATGTCCTGAATAGCAATAGCCATAGAGCCCAATGGCAACCGGAAGGGTGGTCAGGTTTAGAGTAGTTCCTTTGTTCTGGAAGCCAACTTGATCAACCAGTCCAATCCAGAACAGGCAGAGAACCACCAATATAGATGCAATGACTCCCCCAGCTGCAAAATGGAAAATGAAAAGATGCATCAGTTAAGATTCCTAAAGACCCTATTCACATTTTTGTAGTTTTACCAGCACTAAGCAAGAGGGAACAACTTAAGTCTAGAGGCTCCTTGAAGTAACCCATTTGCACCAACTACCAAGAAATCCTATTGGTGCATCGAAATTCATAAATAATCCTTAAATCCTTTTAATAATCCTAATGGTTTTAGCCTTAAAGTGACAAAAGGTAATCCGTTGCACCAACTACCTAGAAATCCTATACTGTTTCATCCATCAACTCCCTCAGGTCGAGCACTTGCTTTTAGCCTCTTACGAATGTATAGAGGAATCGACAGCATCCACTGCCAAAGCTAAAGTCTCTAGGAGACAAAGGCCAGGTATACACCCCCCCCCCCTCAGAGACTGATAGAGATCTTGTTATATACTCACCTGAGATGTAACTCAGGATACTGAGGTCTCGAAGCCAAACAGTAGGAAGAACAGCGAGGGTGGCCATAAGAGCAAACAGATGGTGGGAGTCCAACACCATACCGCCAAAGCTTAAATGTGCATTTGGGAATAATGATGATAAATTGTCGCTTTCCAAAATGATATACTCGACGCAGCAAGCCTGCAGGAGAGAGATGTCAAATTTGGCTCTTACATTGGTCAAGGAGGGAGAACATCAATGATGATACTGCGCTAGCAATTGGCATGTTTTTCCCCACCCAGGCACCCACTCCTGATATGTCATACTTGCATGAATTCCAACGTGTGGAATTGTGTATGCGTAAAGGGGTAACCCCTGGTTTTTTTCATTTTTTGCAAAGCATATGAGTGTATCATATCTTATATACTATTTTGTGCATTTGTGCTCCCGTATATATTGAACCCATTTCCTGATTGGGTTTTATCTGCGTCACGGTTTTATAACGTTGGGCCAGACTATGATGGGCCAAGTTATATAGAAAGGTATGAGGCGGTAACTCGTTGTAGCAGAGACCTATTCCACTCCACTGCCAATATGTTGCGAATTTAAGGGGCTTGAGGGGATCAGCAACTCTATCAAACTGACTGTCGTGGCCTTGCGCTGAAACAAGCAAGTGAACGTCTTTTGATTTGTTACCATGACCCCACCTTAAATTAGATGAAGTGATTTATTGGTGGTATTCAAGTTCAAGGCCATGATTTTCTATTTTAGCCCTGTGCTATAGTGTTATTACGAGTTAACTCCTGATTGGTCTCTAATTCCTACTTTGATCACTCTTAATTGAGATCGGCTTTTATCAGGGTAAATCTGTGCATATAACATTTTAACAGCCTTTTACAATTTTGCATTAGGAATATCTTCCTACGAAATAAAATATACAAGTACAGAAATATTTTCAATGCAAGACAGTAAAAGTCGGTCGAATGGGCTTTACCCTGAAGCCGAATTCCTCCTAATCTTTTCTAGTCATACAGAGTTTTTTTTTTCTTTTTTTTTTTTGAAATTATTACTCACTATTCATTACTCTATTTAAAATTTGAAAATTCCCTTAATAGAATCAAATAAAGCGTGTCAATCATAAAAAAGAAAGAAAGGATACTTACGTACAATTCCACGTATAAAATTATCTGCACCAGAACAGAAAAAACAAGGAAAGCGTCAGTCATGTTTCTCCTTGGTATTAGTAACTGCAAGTCTGTAACCAAAAATTATGTAAGCACGAATCAGTAGTTACACATGGGGAATACATGTATGTTAAATTAATAAAAAAATATTCCCTATCCATGTGCAGTACGATGCTCATGCTCTCATGATATTTGCACGATCGTTGCTTTGAGAAGGTCGGTATTGCTAAAATCTTTGGACTGGGGCACAACCACACTCGACGTGTTTGCTTATACATTTATATATATAATTTATCAAAAAGGAATATGCATAAATGTATATATATGCATATAAATATGTGTTTACATGCTGAATACATTCTAGATCTGTTATCCCTAAATTATTTTTACACACTTATACCACGGTCATGTATTAAGAACATCTCTCCCCAAATGTTTCCAATGCACAATTGGGCTAAGTTTGGGTTGGGATAAGGTTGTTGGCTAGGAAACTGCTACGCATCCCATCCCGACTTAGGGTATGATTTTTGCAATGAAATTTTGTTATCAAAGGAAGTGACTTACGGATATTGCTAAACGGCCGGCAGTACCAAAAGCAGCCTGGCCAATGTCCGGGTATGTCTCCAACCCAGGTTCGCTGTCCAGGCAGTTGCGCAAAAGGATTCCAGTATACCAGGAGAGAATAGCAAAGATTAAGAGTATAGAGAAGCCAAGCCAACCCCCTTCTTTCGCTGCGTAAGGAGTGGACAGGATTCCAACCCCGCAAAGAACGTTGATGCCTGCACTTACATTTATGTGGACAATAATAAAATGTAACAAGTAGCAGGAAAATGGCAAAGTAAGGCAAAGACAAACATTAGTGATATGTAACAAGCACCAGTGATTCCTTTGAGAACCACCTCGTTTTTGAGCTGGATTAGGCTAACTGTTGTCATCACAACATATATAGGCACGCCATAGCATGAATTGGACACGGTCTAAGGTCTGATTCGAACGAGTTCCGATCAGCTGCCATCAACCAGATGCTCCTAACATGTCCCAATCAGCTAGTTCAATGTACGGCTGCAATGGTTTGTTGGTATTGGGTGCATTGATAGCATACCCTTACCACGGTGGTCCAGCCGCTGACCTTTCTAAACGCCCAATCAACCCATATGGCATAAAGTATAAACCCTTCCAGTTAAGTTCCAAATATCAGGCCCAGGTGTTCCAGCGGTCAAAACAAAAATATTCACCCTAACTAGGCCCAACTACAGCAGTTCACCAATGGAAACCGGAGTAGACTCTGCCAGTCATGGCACAGCACATTACATGTGGGACCCACATGAGCGGATCTCTTGTGGCACATTGTGGTTGGCTCAATATTACGAGCAAAACTGTGAACATTTGAACTCGTAGGTGTAATTATTGGAGGGATTAGACATGGATCTGCACTCATCTACAATGCATAATGCAAAGTTCATGTATTGGGTCAATCCCCATCTTCCCATCTGGCTGAAAAATTCTAACCCAACCGCTTTTCGTTGTTCACCGGTCACCCTGGTCTGAGAGTCCTTCAAGAAGAGGAAAGCTTGAAGGCTGGGTTGGGCCACAAAGTGTGACGGGCCTGCAAAATACAAAAACTGTCGCCGATATGGCTAGAACTTCTTGGGGCTGTCAAAAACTGTCGCCAATATAGCTAGAGTTCATCCCTCGTGAGATGAACTCGTTGATTGATGAATGAATGTGCCTTCGGGCTTTAAAAAATAAAAAAATAGGTTGGGTAGGGGGGGAACTGAAATCGATCCGACAAGGTATACTGCAAATGGATCAGATCGGATTCGGTAAGGGCATGTTCGATCCATTCCGTTAAGAAAGCCCGACTGATCCAAATCCGATAAGGGTCCGTCCGATTTTCAAAAGCATGATTTGAATTCGAATGTATTATAGGATACTTGATTCGAATCCGATTCAATTAGACTTATATTTATATCATGTAATATAAATAATATATTAAAATATATAATATATAATATTTCATAATTAATGGAGCAAATCGGGTCACAGCGGATCAAATCAACTAATATCTGAATTCGATTCATTAAATTAATGGATTGACTTTTTCGATCCGATCCAATTTATCAGGATGAAAAAATATCCGAATCCGCCTCTTAATAGATCGGTATCGGATTCGGATAGGATCTGATCCGACTTATTTGCAACCCTATTCTCAGGACAATGGCGTATTAATTATAATTTGCAGCCGTGCTGAATGTATTGGGACTAGATAAAACCGGTTCCGTATTATGGTTATAATTGGGACAATAGATAAAAAACTGAAAACGATTGACAGCCCTTATTTGAATAATGGATAACAGAAGCTACCGCATGTATGTGAAGTACTGGCAGACCGGAGACAGGATTTTCAGTCGACTACTCAGGCATTGAAGACTTATGAGGATAATGCGCTCCACAAGATCCATTGTTTGCATGAACACATCACCGCAGTCAGGATTTGGGATCTCCACTCGTATTCTGACCAATGACTGTGAGTGAAGCCATCGGTTCGGTGCGACGACCGAGACCAAGACACCACCCACCAGCGCTGCAGCCTGCAGCATCCATGAGGAGGATGACCTGGCCCGTGGCCCCAGCCCCAGCCCCAGCCTCCATTTTAAAATCAGAAAATCCGTTAGTCGTCGTCATTCCGCTTACGGCCAAGTGCCAACGGGTAATAGACTAAACGTCCAGTTGAGAACAGAGCTTCTTCAGAGCTCAGGAACGTGCTTTTTGCATCATCCCTCGTGAATGAGACAAAACATCCGAGGCAGGGGCCAGAGGGTGCAAGAACAATAAAGGTCTAAACGACAAAGTCATCTTTCATTATGTAGAGGGTCGTTCTAGCCTTTCATGGATATCGAGACTGAAGACATGGTTTTTCTATTCGTAGAAACATGAGGGAAAGAGATATAAATATAGTATACTCAAACGAACGCAGGTAGCTGAGCCCACTACTATTCATGTTCAATCCTAACGAGTAACGCCTAATTGGCGATAAGTATTAAGTAGGGCCGTGATATAATTTAATCCCATCGGCCATCGACCGTCCTCGGCCCTCACAGCCGCAGGCCGCGGGCATCACATGGGCGCAAGTGAGCGGTCCCGACTATCACAACCTCGTCACGAGATTGGACGACAGCACTCACCAACAGATCGTAAGTTCGCAACCATTCAATGAGGCAATGAGTGGACTAGCTACTATCTCACCGACAGCACAACAGTTTGTATGTGTAGTTGGAATTTGGATATGGAGAGGACAGAGGAGACTTACCGTTCAGCACAGTTTGTCCGTAAGAGCAGTGGCGAGCAACCGGGAGTTCATGGGACACCTTGTGGGGTTTCTGATCAGCGGTCAGCTTCTTTAAGGAAGGTTTCTTGGTGGGAATTGGAGGAGGGAGGAGAGAATGAGAGCTCCGCCTCTGCTGTTGTATCTGTTCATCAGCTACTGTGGGTAACAGAGGCTTTATCAGATTGGATAGTATCTCAGGCGTGCGTCTCCTTGTTAGCGAGGAGGAAAGGAATGAACTGCTTAATCTGGACAATGTAGGAGTGCCCAGAAACCCAATATTGGGAGAAGCAACACTGCTGTACATATCCATTGATTGCCTGAAAATTAACAAAGAACAAGCTTATAAGTTTCATTCCATCAAGGATCCAGTGAAAGGAAAAACCTTTATTAAACAAATCTGGTTCAGAGAAAACTTTGTTGATGTTGATTGAGGCCCAAAATTCGGATTTCAGAAAAAAAATACCTCATTTATTGATGTATTGATGACTTTCTTCTTTTAGCTTTTTGTCCGATTGTCTGGTCTAATGTACATAAACAACTTTTAAAATATAAAAAACAGAGGCAAATTATTGAAACAGTAAGCCAGAAACACAGCCACCAGGCCACCATGGTTATACAATTGAGCTTTATCCAGGGTGGACTGATTGGGCATTTGTGTATCACCCTCAAAAAAATCAAGATTCTCATCCAGGAAGAAGAAGATTAAAGTGATTAAAGACCTAAGAAGCAAGAACAATGTCCTCCAAAAGGAGAATTATATACAAAATAACGAATCTAAACATGCTAACCAATAGCATCCTAGAAGCATAAAAGAACAGATTATTTCCATTACAGAAAGGAGAAACAGAGAGGAAGGGCACAGTGAGACAGGTATGAGCGTTACCTGTAACTCTGTGGCCACGAAGGGTTGTAAGAGCTGGGTCTGTTTTTCTGGCGGCTTCCGACCGAAGAAGCATCGGAAGAATCCGAATCGTTGCCGTCGTCTCCCCCCTCCTTATTATATGCCTTCTCTTCGTCTTCATCTTCACTCTCAATGTAGAAGCTTTGCTCCGAAACCGAATTCTGCATCTTCTAGTCTTTATTTATAAAGGCCTCTCTTTTCCTGCAAAAGATCCCGAGCTTTCCTTAGTCATCCAGTGCCATTTCATCCAAATATTTTAAATGGATTAACAATAAAAGAACCAAAATCTAGGGTTTTAAACTTGCACAACTGAAAGAAATAAATCGAAATACAGTAGAAACAGACTCAAGGAGATAAAAGCGAATGTATCATCTGACATACCTTTTTGAACTACTTCGTCTCGATATATGCGTTTCAGAATACCTTTTCTTAGTGGAATGCAACCAATGAACCTGATAAAAGATCATTAGAAAGATATTCCGCCGAAGAAATTGCAAAGCAAAAACTTGAACATGAGATCTGCGATCAAAGCAAACTAAAACCGTTAATAGATTTAGGAACTTCAGCGAGAGAACAAAAAAAATCTTAACCTGTAGAGTTTCAGAAAAAAAGAATCTAAAAAGCGTTGAATCATGGATTGTCGAATTTTGATCTTGGAAAAAAAGCTACAAAATAAAGAAATAATCTGAAACCAAGTTATCAGAGATATGCAATCCATAGTTGGACAAGGCAAGAAGAAATATCAACGATGGAAGAAGCTCTAAGAAAACAAGAATTTCGAAGTTCCAACCTTGTATTACTTGAGCCACTTTAGTTCACGCAGAAGCTCTAACTGCAGAGAGAGAGAGAGAGATGTTTCTCTACCGGAGACCTTCATTCTCTCGTCATTCACTCGTCTATTTATATATCCTAGAAGCATGTTTGGTAACTATAGTACTTTGACCCCGGTCGGGATCTGTCTCAATCTTCGTCCCGGATTCCGGAGTCTTACTGGAATAAACCATACGAAGTATACGGAGAACCGTCCGGACCCCGGAGTCCTGAACTTATGGTGAAAAATATAACAATTACGTCGCTAAATTACATAGAGCCCCCTGTTTTCAGGGTGATAATGAAGTCGAGTCGAGCCGAGTATGAAGCTCTAGCTCAACTCAAAAACACATAGTTCAAGTTCGGTCGAATTTCTTGTTTTGGCTCAAACTCGACTCGAATCGACACTCGTGAGTTATTCAAGGTTGGCTCGATTTGAGTAGATTATAAATAAATTAGTATTAAGTATATTAAAATATAAATATATTAATATTATAAATAAGTTAATGTTAAATCAGTGTTTTAATAACCGACTTGGAGGCCGAACCGTTTTTGCCTCTGGGTCACGGGTCATGTCATGTCAGAGTCTATATATTTTAAAGTGTATATATATGTATATAAATACATATTTTATGTATATGTATAGTTATATTTTAGACATGATATATGTGTTATTTTGTATTTAATTTTATGTTTTTAATTTTTATGTATAAAAATATAAAAAATTGTGATTTGAGGTCAAAAAAGGTTTTTTTTTTTTTTGCAAAAGTAGCAAGAAAAGGTGCCTTGCGACACATAGATTATGAAAAGTTACCCAATATAAAAAAATCGCCTCAATTGATCATAGGAGTGCAAAGTTATGGCCTCCCGAAGTTTGCATACACAATTAGTATGTATACAACCCGTGACCTAATGATCGGGTCATTGGTTCGACAGTTCAATTGTCTAGGCCAATGGTTTAGTTGGCTTTTCAATGGTTTTTTGGGGCAATGATGGGTTTTATAAGAACCGGATCCAAAAAGTTGACTGGGTGATAGTTTGAAGGGTTTGATCATTTAGGTCAACAACGGGTTAAAAGCATCGTGTTAAATAATGTTTATTTATATTATAAATACAAATATATTAAAAAATAATATTTATTATGGGTTCGACTAGGCTTATTATCTACTTGAGTTGGATTAGAGGTGTAAAGTGTGCCATGCCATGCCCACGACCCAGGCCCGTGTGGGCCCATGTCGTGCCGCGGGTCGGGCTGGCCCATGGACCGAACCTTGGGCCAGGTCAGGCCGTGCATCAGACCAAAGCTATTTATTTAGAAAAAAATTGACAAAAAACTTAAAATTTTAATTTTTTATGAATTTTGTGTATAAAATTGCTTATATATACTAATTAAATAAATTAGTATAATAAAATTAAAAAATATTTATTTTATTAATATATCATATACTATATATTATTATATAATATTATATAAATATATATAAATAATATATATGAGTCGTGCTGGCCCGTGAACTTAAAACCCCAGACTTAGCACAGCCCGCATGATCGTACCGGGTGGATCTAAGTTCATGCCAAGCCATGCCAGGCCGTACCATGCTGTACCGCCCCGGCACAGCCTGGTTTACACGTCTAAATTGAATCTTAAAGCTGAGTTTAAGTATTACAATTAAGTAGCCATGATTTTTTTTTTGATAGAAGTATCCATGATTAGGCTCAACTCGCTTATTGGCTTACACCCTACCCTGACCTATATTCTAGATTTCTCCCTAATGTGGTAATGGGGTATTGGGGTTGATAATGAAAGTAAAATTACTAAATTGTTCATTCTCTATGCATTAAACCATTCCAAAGCACAAATCATTCTCAAGGGCGTGCTTCAAAGTATTGACATGTGCAATACTAGAATCATCGTTAGTTCTACCTAATAGAATCAAACATACCGAAACAATTAAATCGGTTGTTGTTCTTTGATTTTCTCTTGATCAACAATAAGGTCCGAATTGGTTCTTGCTGTTACAAATTGATTAAGATTCGCAATGATTATTGAGTTTATAATATATAAAGGTTTCATAGTTTTCTTGTAAATTTTATTATATTTTGTGTCTATAAGGGTAAATTTGATAGATAATTTTGGTTAATTGTTATTAACATATAACTAATTAACTATTTATGGTCATTTTTATTAAGGTTATGTATTGTCGTTTTTATTGAGATAGTTCTGCATCTGTGATAATTATAATTATTATAGATAATTATAGATTCTATTATCCCAATTAATAATTGAAACGGTTTATGTTTATGATTTTGTCTCAATTAATAATCAATTTGAGATTAATACACCCTTTCTTGAACCAAACCCGACCCATTGACAGTCTTATGTGATACACAAAATTTACATATTTCAGTTTTAAAAAGGTTCAAAGTTGGTTCAGTTTTCACGATAATCAGCTTTTTTTTTGGTAAGAGGTAATCCAAAATGAATTCAACGTACATGCATGGGAGATATTTCGAATGCGCGGCTGGATGTTATGTTGAAAGAATTTTTGCTTCCAGGAGATGGATCTAGTTTCTCTCCTAAAAGGATATAAACTATCGAATATGACCTTTTCCCCTAAATCTTAATATTTAGTGTTTCCATGGGTTTAGAAGCAATATGTATCTTTGTACGCACCGATAACATCTTGTAATATTTACAAGCCTAGATCTCATGCAAGTAAAATGCTACACACAAATCCAACTGCACATCAGGAATATCTCTTACATTATTAAATTCATAAAAAGATATTCTTAATGTATTACTGGATGCCGTATTTTACAAAGCATGTGTAGAGTTTTTTGCTTGCAAGAGATCCGATGGCGATATTTACAACCTTGCTAAAAGGCGTTTTCTACTGTTAAAAAAAAAAGAAAAACCGAATTCAAAAGACAAAATGATTTCATAAAATAAAAGTCTGGGATTTCTTACACATGGCGTGACTAGTGGGTTTAAGTAGTGCAGTTCCCGGCTTATAACTCCTGTGTCAAGGGGAGTAACGCCAAGCATACAAAACGTTATAAATCATCTTACACAGTTACACCCTTCTTTTAAACGTTCTGTCATTTCTAGGTGGGTCCTCCAATTATAAGTAGTGGTACAGGTGGGTCCACTAAATATCAGCAGATGTGTGGTGTAAGATGCCACTAAACTAATATCAGCAGATGTGTGGTGTAATATAATTTGCAAGGCATTTTATCATTTCAAATTCCATTTGTTTAGATGCAACTTGGGTGGGCTTGGTTGGCTTTTTCTTAAAATTTGAATGGACCCGATGTGAAGGCGCAAACCCGAAGCACTGTAAAATGTTAATTTGGGTTAATCCGAGTTGCACCCTTTAAAAGAATGGTAGGATTCATCCAATGGACGCCATAAAGGTTGTGGAATGGGTGGGCGAATTTCAAAAATTTCCTACTTTCTCCCAACTGGGAATCATATTCCCTAAATTTAGAATATATTATTCWAGGATCCTACTTGAACCATAATCAAACCAGATCTGTACCAAAAGGTAAATGGGAGGAATATACCTGATCCGAAGAAGCACTATCTCCCAAAGTTGGTGTTCACGCCCAAAGAATGCTCCAAGATCCGTTCCTG